ATTAAAAACATCATGAGAAAACCTGCATGGCTGGGAAATATGTAAAATGGTACGTTACTTTTATTTTTCCTTAAGAATAAATAAGTGTGAAAACAATAATAAAGTTAATTAGTTCTAACGGTACGTTTGGTTGCTGTAAAGCCGCGGGTTCGAATATCGGAACAAGTATTTTATTGTCTACATGTAATTATTCCGCGTCTAGTTTAGTGTCTACGAAAAATAAAACATTGTAAATTTCTACATTTTCCGATTACTCTTGAAAGATGTAAATGCAATAGATAGAAAGTGCTGCCATTTATTGGATCCCATGAGGTATTTATTGCATTGTGGTGACAAGCGAGCGCTTGATGCTGTCACACTTTGCTCTTCTAGATGTCATGGACATAATTGAAGGCGGGTCGTGGCACAGTGGTTTCGCAATGAGTTGCAGTGCTAATGGCCGCGGGTTTGAATACCGCACAGATCTAAACAAGTATTTGTATGACCTACAAATATTAATGAGTCTGGATGTTTATCCTCGTGAAATTTATGTAAAGTGCACTACGATACAGGAGGAAATCCCAGTGTGAAAGCAACGTTTTTCTAAGAAACAAGTAAAAAAGGAACATCTATGTTTAATTAATTTTCAATGAGTTGTCATCCCTGAGGACTAAGGTGGAATCCTTAGTCCTACCCATTATCAGTAATAAATTCTCTACTTATATATTGTATTATATAGCTATACACTTTCGTTTTATAGCTATATCAGTTAATATAGCTACGGCGTGGCTCTACCCCGTCAAAATATCTATTTACGTTTATGCGTACACACGTCCATAAGGTATATTTACTTTTATTTACGTAGTAGAGCCATGGTGCACCTATATTAGTCGTATAGTATTAGGTTGTAGCACGAATGGGTCGGCTCGACCGGGTAACGACCACGCTCTCACAGAATACCAGTAGAAAATAGCACCTCAACGCTGCTGTGTTTCGTATGGAGAGTGTACCGAAAACTGGAAACGAGGCATTACATCTTAGTCTTCGCCGGTGACAAAACAACCGCATTTTGATTCGTTATCGAGGTTAGATATAGATGTCTATGGGCCACAGCAATCACTTACCATCAGGTAGACTGTGGACTTATTAAAATAAACTTAGATTTTAATGGTAAAATACAAAATAAGAGATCCTCATCTCTTTTATTCTACTTGTATAATATGTTGAGATTGTGTCTTATATTTACGCGAACAATCCGTAAAAGTAGTTTTAATCAATGTTGAGATTGATTTGGTTTTTTTTTTTGATGAGATGATAAAGATACTCCGGTGAATAGTTTTTTCTCAAATGTAGACTCCGGATGGTTCATTTAGATAGAGAATCACGAAACGGCTTATTTAGACATATCTTTAGATTGTTCCCTTTTTACCAAAGATTATGTACGACACCTAATTTATAATCTGATTATTATAAATCAAACCATTCGCATGTATTTTTGTAATAAAAATGTATATCTTCTTTTGAATATAAAATTCAAAGCACACAGTGCGTGACCTCCAGACAGTGACTTGTCTGCCTGTGTTAAGAATCTTTATTTTTTTTTTCAAGATATTACTTTCTAGAAATGGTATATGGAGTAAAAATATACTTTTTAATAGAACAGCGACAAGTAATCACACGGTCCACCTGATGGCAAGTGTATTTATCCCTTAGACACCTACATCTATCCTCGATTGAGAATCAAAATAGAAATGCGTATTTAGGGTTAATATTTCCAATATGGACCATCGATTTCAAAGCCCATATTTTTTTTGTAGATAGTACTCACTAAAAGAAAGCGTTTTGCATAGTTTTAGGTTGCGGACACTTACGGTTCATGAGAATTATTTTTTTAAACTTTTCATACAAATTGGCAAATAACACACAATTACACCAATTACAAAATAAATTTGACAAATGATTGATGTCAAACGTCAATTAGTGTAGGGTTCCGAATATTTTTAAAGTATCGATACGTACTCGATACCAAGTATCGTATCAAAAGTATCAATACTACTTGGTATCGAGTACATTTCGTTAATTTTGGATACTAGGGGGGTAAGAAGCCGGGAAGTTGTGCTCCGGCGCTCCGTGGCAGCTCCGGCGCTGCGGTATGAGCAGTGCTTCCGCCCTAGCGTAGGGAAGCACAGGCACCTGACCTGACCAGCCTCAGCTGCTACGGCGATCTCGGTGCCTGCGCTTCCCTACGGCGGGCGGGCACTGCTCTCCCTCCGCGCCTCCGGGCTCTTATATACACTCTAGGGGTAGGGCAGACAAGACCACGTGGATAGTGGGGTGCTCTGATTCGGTTTTGGGTACTTTTTGGATATTAAATAAGTAAGTCAATAAGTAAGTAAACACTTTATTGTAGTAAGAATTAGATAATATAGAAAGTTGCAAACAATAAAATAAAAGTACAAAAGCTGTACTAATTAAGAAATGCAAACAAGTTGCAAGCAATGAAATACAAGTACTAAGGTGGAACTTAAATAGAGTAAACTTTTATTCTACTTTATATACATATATAATTGCACTTATCAGCTCTTCCTAAGCATCTAATTGGTTTGTCATAATTTTTCGTCTCCAAAATTAACGAAATGTACTCGATACCAAGTAGTATTGATACTTTTGATACGATACTTGGTATCGAGTAGGTATCGATACTTTCAAAATATTCGGAACCCTACACTAACTGACGTTTGACATCAATCATTTGTCAAATTTATTTTGTAATTGCGTGTTATTTACCAATTTGTATGAAAAGTTTAAAAAATATATCTCATGAACCGTAAGTTTCCGCAACCTAAAACTTTGCAAAACGCTTTCTTTTAGTGAGTACTATCTACAAAAAAAATATGGGCTTTGAAATCGATGGTCAATATTGGAAATATTAGCCGTATTTAGCCCTGAAGATCAATATGGAAAACCTCGTTACCAGTAAAAATGACCTTCGATTCCTATCACTCACTAGCTTCATATTCGTTTAGTATCATCTGCTAACACTTCAGTAGATGATGATAGTATTAACTACTACTGCCTGATTTAAAACGATAACAGACACTTCCAGAGAGCTTTCTTTCGTCTTTTTATCTCCGGTCACTATAACCTGACTTTATAAACAACAAAAGATTTGCTTGACAAATGTTTGTTCTTTTTTAATTTGCTTACGTCCGAAATAAAAATTTTCATTATGTTTCACCATCCGTATTTAAAAAAAAAACAACAGATGTTTCTGTATTTATTGTCATGCAAACAAAGGCCTAGGTGCAGCTAGAGCAGTAGTGCTCATTATGGTAAAATAAATTGCCAGTTTAAAATGATTAATTTGTGTTATTAATTGCACAACGTATTTCACAATTGTAAATAGTTTTACAAAATGGTACGTGTAATCTACGTGTGGTTGAATTAAAACTTAATATTATAAATATTTATAACTACCCCTTTTTCTGTTAATCTTTATTTATTATTATTTGGTTAACTAATATTATTTTACATTAACAAACCATTTATCAATTAAATTGTCATTATTGATAAAATTAATTTTAAATGAAATTTATGAATATATAATGGTGGAGAATTGTTCAACGATACATAAAGTATCTACTATTGGCAGTTGACCACTTTATAAATACGAGAACTGCGTAAGCTGTCTGTAGATTTTACTGAATAATACTGTTAGATTATTAAGTATAAATATTTATTTTTCTGACAAGTTTCTAAACTATTAATTGTCGGTCTTTTATCAACTACATAATGCTATTTCCTATATAAAAATAGTTGAGACTCAATTTTAATTTCTGACGTTTAACAATTATAAAAATAACTTCTTTATTAGTAGAGGAAAGTAACCAAATATGGAATACCATCTTTTTTTTGTGTTATAAAAAAAAGATATTCTAAATCAAAAACTTTTATTCTTATTTATTATCAGTCATACAGTTACGCTTAACTTATTGACAGATTTGTTTTACATATATTAATTTAAAATATAAAATTTTCTCAAAAACAAAATCAACATAAAGGTACCTAATTATAGAATAGGTACCCAAATATGGACTACTATAAAACTATGAATAATAAACCTTTACTTTTATGAGGTACTACAGGAACTTTGTTCAATTTTAAAAATGTACTTAAATTACTTGCAAAAATCACAGATCCATGTATCGAACTCTGCACCTGCGCAATCACCATGTGCCCAGAGCCCGCACATTAGGCATTTGATCCATGTCTCTCCTCTAGTATCTTGAGAAAACAAGCTATTACAGAATATACACTCTGCATCTTCTGAGTCAGGAGCTTCCAGTCCTATGACGGCATCAGGCTCACTGTCTGTGTCAAAATGTATTTCTTCTTCATCGTCTGAATCAATGGGACTACTTTGAGACTTGGTTTTCTCTTTTTGCTGTTTTCCTTTAGTTTTCTTTTCTTTCTGTTTTTTTTTTTAATTTTTTGGCTTTGATAATTTATTCTCTTTTTCGTTTTCTTTTTATTACTGTCAATGAGTTGATTTTCATATGGAGAAGATGTTATTATTTCCGCAATTGTTGTTTTTCTTCCTCTATTAGAAATCTTTCTTTTTTTATCTGGCACTGGGCTGATGTCATAGGGCGACACCAGATTTAGAGTACTGCGAGAAAGCCTGGAAGTTGAGGGTTCTGGATCGAATTCTGTGTCTTGTCTTGGTGTGACAGAAGTTTCAGTTAAAATCAAACTATTATCAGGTGGTCTTGCATCGTTTTTTGATGATTCTTTCGACTGGGAGCTTGATTTTGTTGGAGTGACATCGATTGTGCAACCATCTTTTACTGCATCTTGTTGGGCAGCAAGGTAGTCGATCTCGCTGAATATATTTTTATTCAATGGCCAAAGGCCTGCAACGCGAAAGCCATTCGCTGCAATTTCCCCTGTTTGCACTTTCAAGTAAGATCTGCCAAATAGTTCAACAATGTCATAAGGACTTAGTGGCCTGTTATGGTTTCTTATCCACATTTGTATTTCTTCACTAAAATAGGTTTTAGTGGTCCCATAAAAGTGTTATCCAAAGGTTGCGGTTTGTGGGTTGTGTGTGGAGGTATGGAAACAATTTCAACATTGTTCTCCCTTGCAATATCGATAACGTCGATGTTTCGTGTGTGAGAATAATGTCCATCTAAGATCAACAAAACTTTCGATTCTGGGGTCGGTTTGGTGTGTTTGATGAAATGCTTAAACCAATCTGTAAATATTTGCATTTGAATCCATCCTGATGGATGTGCAACGCCTACCGCATATGGAAGTTTGCCTCTCATTAGCTGTTTGCTCATATTTTTCCTGGGAAAAATGATGTAAGGAGGCACAAAATGGCCAGTAACGTTCATAGCAATAACTATTGTTATTAATGACCCTCTTTCAGCTGAAGTAAGTGAAGCTATTTGTCGTTTTCCTTTGTGACCGATAACTTGGAGTATCTTGGTTTGAACCACTGTAAGACCAGATTCGTCAACGTTATATATGCGATTCGGAGTATAGTTACCCTTAGTGTAGACTTCTTCACGAAGATCGAAAAAAGCATCTACTTTTTCTTTACTGAAACCAAAAGGTCTTGCAAAAGACGTGCCAGTGGGTCTTCTCATTGAAAGTTTTTGCTTATGACGGTTTAAAAATAGCTTTAGCCATTTTTTGCCAGTCATTCCGGACTCACCAAACGGATTCTCCAAATGATTGCGTTTGGCCAACATATACGCCATTCTGCGAACATCATTCCTCGTCAAACCATGAAACTTGCTGTCCATCTTTAAAATATATTCTACTAGTAGATTTTCGAGCTGATCACCTAAAACAGATTTTCTTCCTAATTTAGTGGCTGCAGATTCTTCTGGAGATAGCTCATTTTTCTGACACAATCGAAACAAAGTGGTTCTTGGTACATCAAAGTGTTTTGCTGCTTTAAAATAACCCATTTTTTCTCTCTAACCATTCGTATAGCTTCTGTCATGTGATATGTGTTCCATTCTTTTCGTTTTCTTTTTGAACTTGAACACGTCGTTCTAAAACCAAAATATTAAATTTGAAATCTAGCCAGATAATATTGTGGTATCCAAATTTGGAATAGTCCATATTTAGACTCCACGGACTGTCCATATTCGGAAATTTCAAAGTAATCAAAACGTATATCAGATTTTTTTACTCATCAAAATCAGACAAGAAAAAACCTCTGAAACAATCAAACAAACATGTAATCAATGCATACTCATAATATACAATATTATTTCCAATCATGTTTTGAGAAATACTTAGTTTTTACGTACCTTAAAAACTTTTCTCACAGCGCCAAAACAAAACACTCTCACTGCGGCCACAACATTCGCCCGACTGACAAGTCGAAAACTGTACGCGAGTATAATGATGGAAAGAGACAGAAAATCACTGTCTTTTGCAACTAGGAGTATTCGTTTCCGAGAAATGGCCCGGTATTCCATTTTAGGGATACTATTCCATATTTGATTACTTTCCTCTAACAAATATTTTACAAGTAATTATATTCACATAATTAATCACTCAAATAAAAAAGTACTTGTTTCAAACGTTATTGTAACTAGGGAACTAGCGGGCCAATATGGCGGCATTAAACTGAATAAGTGACGAAGAATGATTTGTTAAAATTAACTAAGTAATTAAAAAGACATCCAGACCTATTAATTTTATATTTCAGAAGTGGGATTGTCTGAATCTATCTTTCATAAAGGTTTGTTGTTGGTAAATTTTCGCTCCAGCACTCGGCGAGTGAAAGAAATATGCTTACTTAAAATGATGATTCTCTGTTTGGTTTGTAACGTAGTATTAATGTGTTGTGTGTATTCATACAAAAGAAATGTTTTTATTAGGCGATTTGAAGCATCATAGCATAATGACAAAATAGGTTTATTTATACAATAATCATGGTGTTTTTCGTGTTTCTAAAATCATGGGACTGTATTGTTGTTGTTTAATAGTATAATAACGCTAAGCCTGTATTTATTTAGAGTATTACCATGGTGCTTTTCGTGTTCATAATATCTGTTGACTACATTGTTGTTATTGTTTTTTTTTTGATTTCATGTAATAAAATTTTAAGCTATTGCATGGCTTCTATCGCGGGCCTTGAGCGCGGGGACCGAATCCAGAAATTCCGTAACGAAAAAAAACCTCACCCCTCTCCGACGGGCACGGAGGTGTGGCGTTGAAAGCCGTGCATCGTCTAACGTCGTTTTAGTTCGGCAGACTTCGGCACTCGGCAGACTTCGGCACGGTGTTTGTGTGCGTGTACACTAGCTGCTAACTCAATGATAAAAATTCCTGAATAACCTACATGTATTGTAAGATAATAAAAATATTTTAAACAATATTAACTTCTCATTTATTCAATAAGAGAAAAAAAATTTTTCTTATCGGTCACCACGCTCAAAAAGTGTAACTTGATTTAATATCAAAGACTTAACTGCATAAATAAAATAAATAAATAATTATAATTGCATAAGTTGATAAAAAATGCTATGCAATAGCTTTACCGCGCCGAGTGCCACACGTATTTTTTATTAGACATTTGTATAGTAACAACGAAACTCAGGCGCAGTTTACTGCGCCGCGTCGTCTCATTACGTAACGGAAAATTGCCATGGCGCAATAAATTTTACACAGTTGCCAACACAGGCCGTCAAAGTAAAACCTCGTGGTCAGTGAGTAAAATGGATAAAAAAAGGAAAGATTACTTATCATTTTTGTTTTTCACTTCACAGAGTAAAAGAAATAGTATAAATTATGCAGCGCTTTTTAACGAAATGGCCGAATTATATACAGCTGATGTTTTTATTGAATGGTTATAAAATCTGTTAGTTTTAGTGTCAATTTAGCGGTAAAAAAGTCATCGGTTGTGTAGTGCAACCGATTTTTTTTTACTGAAAAGCGACACTAATGACCGAAACGCATCGAGTAGTAAGAGAGTAGTTTCGCAAACTGACATTTCACAGATAAGTTGGTGACATTGTAAGCTACGTTGAAGTATGTTTTATGAATAGGTCACTCATTTTGGTCTCTGTTTAGTGCTCAATGTGTTGATGATTTGACGAATTTTTGTGAATATGGATGTTAAGATTTTAATGAGGCTCTATTTAATTTTTATAATATAATTACATAATTTAATGATGTTATTCCCTAGTGTTAATGAAACATAAATATTATGTATGTGTGTGTACCTAAATTTGACTAAGAGTTGATTAGTTGTATTAATAATGAAAGGCGTCGAATTTGTTTCTTGTTCTCTTTATTTATGCAAAATAGTCATAAAAATGTTGTTGCAGATATTGTAAAAGACTCAAAGAAGAAGTGTACGGTTTATGACTATATTTTTTTTAAATTATTGTAATTTTAACAATACAGGGTAGATCTTACGTGTCACCTATCATATTTATATACAAAAGTTGGTATTTATATATTTACATAAAATGTCTGATCGTGGTTTAACACCCCCTTTGCCATCAAAAAGAGATTATGTACGGTGCAACGACATCGCCACCGTTGTTTCGCCGAACAACCTCTCGTGACAAACATACTACCTACTCATAATGATTTCTTAAATTTACGCGAACACTACACATTGAATAAAACTAAATTTACGGATTCTATCACGTCTATTTAACTGATTTTACTTATTTTTAATTCCCGACGTTTCGGGTGCTTTACAGCAGCCATGATCACGGGGGGGGGGACCCCCATAACATACCCCAAAACATACTACTCGTAAAGCTCGAATTGAATCTGCATTACCTGTTCAAAATCGAACGAAACGGCGGCACTGTCGTAGTATCGAACGTGAAAGCACTCCGTACTATACTTATATTGAACGGTCGCATCGCAAATCAAAGCATTCGCACAAACACAAAAAAATATGGCGTAGCATATCTAGTCATACATCCATTGAAAGTACAGACTCTAAGCAAGCCTCTAACAATAATTTACTTCAGCAATTAGTAAGTAGTACAAGGTAGTAATTCGCGAGTCCATGCAGCAACGCACGTGCAATGTGCACAAAGTATTATCACGGAATTTGATCCTGGTTCTAAAGTACAAATCATTAAATATTGGCTCATAAAGATTAATGAATCTGCGGAAATGTATGGTTGATCGGAACAACAAACCATTTTCTATGCTTTGCCAAAGTTAAAAGGCTTAACAAAGAAATGGTATGACGGACTTACGAGTAAAGGTATTAATAGTTACTTTGCAACCATCCGCTCAATTAAATACCATGATGTGTCTTACCTAGATTGAAGAGCTTAACGGTCAGCCGCCGTAGAGTCTACATCACCTGAAGATGCCTCGTGTAGAGGCGAAACACGTATCGAATTATCGTCGATGGTGTGTCTTACCTAGAGTAGTGGTGTTGGGAGTAGTGGTGTTGGGAGTAGTGGTGCTGGGATTAGTGGTGAAGGGATTAGTGCACGCACTTGAGGGGGGCGGGAGGTTCAGAGACATGAAAGGTTCAGAGAGTTTTGGCAAAAAATTAATCACGTACCTATATAGAAATTGTAAAGAAAATTATAATAAGATTACAGTACTTACATAATGTTCTGGAGCATTCAGAATATGCTTGCATGTGGAAGTCATAATAAGAGCAGGTACCGATAATGATTATGACATTTCATTAAAAAGGGAGAATAGAGAGGGAGAGAGAGAGAGAGAGAGAGAGAGAGAGATAGAGGGAGATTGAAAATCCTTGATTTAAAATCCAGCACAGTTCTCAGCTTGGTAGAAAATTGAACATTTACATTAATTGCAAGATGATGCTGTTATCAGGGTTTAGAAAATAATGCTTCTGTGGTTTGGTCATGTAGAAAAAATGAATGAGGAAAAAGTGACAAAGCAAATATATATTTACCCTCAACCGACGAGCATGTATGCGTAGGTATACGGATGTGGAGCAGGCGAGAGAGGTATGTCAGGATCGTACTAAATGGATGTCTGTAGTCTCTGCCTACCCCTTTGGGTGACAGGCGTGAGTGTTTATCTATGTTCTTATGTTTTTTGAAAATTCGTTTAACTATCGTAAAAAGCATAACGAGCTTCCCCCTTGTTTCTATAACTATAAATGATTTATATCTTCTGCCACTCAGCGGAATCTCAGAGTTAGAGTAACTTTGCTAATATTGCTATCGGCATTCTACGACGGCATACATTATTCGAAAGGTCTTTCCGAGTTGCCCGTTAGGTATAGTAGCCGGCCAGAAGAAGTTTACTGCAACGTGACAAATATTTTCAAAACTATTTATTTTTTTAAAATTACCGTTACCGTTATCCTCACCCATAGATCGTCTCATAGGGGGGATATTTGCCATAGTTGCCACGCTTGGCAAAAGAGTTGACAACCGCAGTTTAATTTTTAGTTGTTATTAGTAAGACGCTGCTGGCCATCTCCTTACCTTTCCACTGTGATGATACACTAATTTTTAATAGAAAGTTCAGTATTTGCTCTTGAATTATACTCGGGCCTAAATATACTAAAAATTCGCGTATCACTTTATTCTATAATTGTATATATTCAACCTCTTTTTAAATTCACATTTTTTATATTTATTTAAATAACACACACTTGAAATATAGATTGTATTCCGAGTTATTAATCTGCTTTGTGAATTATAATAAAAGCAAGCATTAAAAATAGGACTGGCAACAACACCACTGAACGTTGTTATTTATTGCTTTTGATACGAACATAACTTGAAACACGCAGACAATTCGACGCCAGCTACACGGTAAGATATAAGAAAACAATTTATCATTTTCTCTCCTAATAATACAATTATTCACTACGATTTATGAATACTAGGCGAAGTCGAGTTAAGCCAATTGTTAAGTTTATAATTGACGAAATTTTTTTCGTAAACAGAAGTACTTAAATAAAAAATACATAAATTACCCTGTATAG